CAGAAAGCATCGAGCCGGTGGCACCGGCTTCGTGCTGGGCCCGGACCTACCGAGCGCTGGAGCGGGTGTAACGCTCCGGTGTAACACACCGGTCCCGTGCAACGCGTGGAAAAGCCTGAAGCCAGGGCAAAGCACCGCGCCCCGTGCACCGAGCCCGCTCAAAGCCGCGCCGGGGCTGCCCACCGGTAACACCGGGCCGGGGCTGCCCGCGGCGACCGCGCAACGCTCACCCGTGGCAACGCCGCAGGGACATGACAGCTCACCCCCATCCTCCTCCTCCTCCTCGCCCTCACACCACCGCGGCGGCGCACCCCCCCCTCCCCGGGCACCGCCCGATCGACGGAGATAGCGAAGCGCATCCCGCCCTGTCAGCGCATCCCGCCGCGCTCATCCCCCCAACGCCGCCGAGCCCCCCCGCTCCGCAGCCCCTTCCCTCCTCAGGCAGCCCCGGCTGCAGCCGCCTCCACGCGAGGCGGGTTTTTTGTTCGCTCGGTTTGCGTCACCTTCAGTGTTGTCCCCACGGTGTCGCTGCTCTGGGTCACCCGTCGCTCAGCGGGATCATCCCAACCTGCCCAGAGTCAGGACAGGAGGCCTCGCCCTCAACCCTGGCGCTCTGCCTTGGGCCCAGCTGCCGCCTCACCCCTCGAGGTGTGAGGGTCAGCTCTTGGGGTGCTTTAGGAGGGTCCCTGAAAACACCACCCCGCATTCTCAGGCCTTTGCAAACACCCCGCGGGACACGCTCGGAAGCGGCATGATCCATCTTCGGCAGCACAGCCCCATTAATTGGATTATTCAACCCCATAACCTGCAGCCACTCAAGGGCATCACAGGTGACAGGGGAGCGGCTGTGTTTGGGAAGCAGCCTGCCACTGAGGTCTAACTCCAGCATTCCCAGTTGATTTGCAATCCACCTTTAAACCCATTCCCATGAGAAGAGTTTTCCTAGTGAGCCGCTCTTGCACAGCTGAGGAAAGCTGCCGGTACCATTCCTCTACAGGGCAGCACCAAACACTGGTACTTGTACACCTCTGTTTTTAACCAAGAAACTACCAGAAAAGGTACGCTGAGCTTAAGCTGAACACCACCAGTTCTAACTCTAGTTTTTATTTTTAATTCAACAATCTATTGTTAAAGTAAACCCAGATCCAGGGAGAGAGGACAGCAACAGCTTCTGCCTGCTGCATAGACACAGAGCTCAAAGGACAGACCACACCATCTCTTTTTTCCAAACCTTTCTGTTTGCAAGTTACCTTGCAGATCATGTATTTTATGCAACCCCTGTCACAAACATTGTTAGAGATGCCCCAGATCTGTCAGGCTTGTGATCCCGGTTGTAACTAGTGATTTGACACAGACCCTCCCTTAGGGGCCACCCCTATAATCAGTTAAAGCAGAATAGTTGTGTTCGGTTTTTTTTGTTTTACATGGAGATCTGGCAGTTTGCCATGAAACTGAAATGCGTGGAGGCGGAGATGAGGTCCACCAAGCCCTGCTGAGGTTTATTTTCTCCCCTCGGAAGGAGGCAGCCGTTCTTGTAAGAGCTGACAGAGGGAACAGCCACTCACTTTTAACCACACCTCATCCCGGCCCAAATACACAGGTACTCAGCTACAAGCAGAGGCAGGAGTATCTAACACTGAATTAGTCAGGCTGTTTAGACAGAGGGATAGATACACTCTTTTCTGCTAACTCCACCATAAACCATTGCACCCACACCAGGCTCAAGGGACAGGGGCACTTCAGACCCCAACAATCCAATCATCTGCTTGACACCCTACACTTTCCATTCACTGTAGCCCGAACAGGGGGACTAAGAGACCTCAGAACTGGTCAAGCTATTTACACTGTTGTGTCACTGTGACAAAGAGTGAAAGATACGTACAAGCACTTTCCTTTTTGTATCCAGAGGCACACAGTAGTGCAGTGACTCCTATAAGCAACGCTGAGCACTTAACTCTGCCAACTCACCGTCCCTAAGGAGCAAACTCAGCCTCAAAAAAAACAATAACGATCACCTCAGGACAACTAAGACCTAGACACCCTCCAGGAAAGGGGGAACGCAAAGCCAGGTCACTCGGTGACGAGGGAAGGATCCCCATCCCCTGACAGCACCGCAGGCTGGCACTGAGGACACCACCACGTAAGTCTTTTAAAGCCACCTGAGGGTCCAAGGGTTGCTTTCATCACTGCATGCCCGAGGGGACACTGCTTCTTCTGGTAGATCTGAGGGTGCAGCCTTTTGTCATGCAACTTGCTGTGCAGCCAGTCAGAGCTGAACTGAATGGCACAGTCAAGCAGACGCTCCAGATCTGAGAGCTCCAAGAGAGAGCCTGGTGTTAACGGATGGATCTTGGCCAGGTACAAGATCTCATTCTTAATGATGTTCCCTAGAAAGGGTGAGAAACAAGGAGACAACAAGGATATTTCTTAGCAAGATGATGCAGGCTTATGGCTCCAGTCTGTGAGTTCTGCCTCAAGGATCACATCTAGCAATGCCATTCCCCATATCAGAGATGGCAACGAGTAGCCTTACTGCTGGGACTGGACTGTGAGATGTTCTCTTCCCACTACCCTTGAAGCACACCTTCCTTTCTTCCAAAAGTACAAGCCAATCCATAGTCACCCACACCAAGAGTGTTCACTGTGCGCTGCACCACTGGGCTCACGCAGTGCACTCAAGTGTCTGAAGCCTGTGGCTACACCGTGCAAGGCTTGGCCTTAGCAAGATGGCACAGACCCTCAGCTGGATCAACCAGAAGCCATAAGGCTAAGGAGTAAAAGGCTCAGACATGCAGCTCTGGATCTGCAGATCCCACCCACCTTCCTCCCTTTCTTGCTCCACCACTATGCCCTGGAACTCACCCAGCCCTGAGAAATATCTTTGGTCTAAGAGGGTGTAGCAGATGGGGTCAGGTGAGTGGAGGGCATCCAGCGCCCGGCCACGGTGGAACTCCACAGACAGGATGTCAGAAGCAGGGTCAGCCCTTGGAGACGAGCACCAGTGCATTCGGCAGTTGTAGAAAGCAAGGAAGCCTCCGCTCTCAAAGTGCAGAACCAGTCTGGGAGAAGCAAAGAAGTTGAAATCTCTCAGCAGAAACATCCCTGAACCATTTGTTGTATTCCGCTCTGCCTGAAGGAACTTGCACAGAAAGAGACAGCAGTGAAAAGCTACTGGAAAGTGAGAAAAGAGCCTGTACATGCCATAAGCTTAGGGAGAAGCGCACACTGAGGCATCAGCCCTCACACGTGTCTAATTCTCATGACAGGGAGACATCTCGAAGTACCAGTCTCCCAGGCCTCCCCAGGCAGGAGGGCTGCCACAGTTCAAGTGGGAATCAAAGGCTGTACCCTCTTCTAGCTACTCCTTCCCTGCAGCTTATCACTACACTTGCTTGTGCACACAGGGTCACAGCAGGCACTGCAACGCACCAGGCCACCCTCTCAATGCCAGGTAGTCTCTTCAATGATCACAACCAAGTTTCTTGGCTGAAAAGTCACACAACTTGTGGACAATTGTTCATTCTACTGCCCCTTGGGTCCCTAGCCGAGCAACAACAGGCCAGGAGATGTATCAGCATCTTAGCTCTCCCCAGCAGGCAAGTCAGATGACCAAGAGCTCCAGCAGCAGGGGCCACAAACCAGAGAAACCGATGTGGAAAGGAGCACGCAAATCTGACTGGCTAAAACTACTCGAATAAAAATAATGTAATCACGGAATGGGTTGGAAGGGACCTTAAAGATCATCAAGTTCCACCCCCCCTGCCTTAGGCGGGGACACCAAAATCCATCAGAAGGATTTATTCCTTCCTTCTTCAAAAAGGGACATCCTTCAAAAGACTTCAGGATGGGGGGGGCGAGGAGTGTGTCCCCAACAAGTGCACCCTGTACGCAGGGGCCACACCCACCTTGTGCATTATTAACCACTAAGGCGACAAAGCTCAGAAGAGCAGTCCACAGTCTCTTCCAGTATCTACCCCTTGTTCAGTACACTTCCAGTGGGACTTAGGTCACAGACTGTAGCCTGTGTTTTCAATGTTTTGCTGCCTTTAGCAGCATCACTTCAGCCTGTGATTCCAGCTGCCCTAGATGTATGCTATTTATCCAAGACTTTTTTTAAACATGTAATTGGGAGAAACAGGCATTTTCAGGACACGATTCAGTTTGGCATCCTAAAAGTTCTCTCTCTGAATTAAAAAAAAAAAAAAATTGTAATTGAGCTGGTACTATGATCCCCAGGCTGACAGGCAACACATATCCCACAAGTGCACTGTGGATTCCCTGGTTGAACACACTCCATACCCACTCACACCATCTCTCATGCCTACTTATCTTAAGAATCATCAGAGAAAAGACAGGGCTAACAGAATCCCCACACAGTTTAACTGGAGTCAGAAAAGCCTCTCCAGAATGAGAGGCAGGGAGAGAAGGCAGAGTCTGTGAGGACTCCCCTAAATACCTGGGTACAGGGTCCTTCCAGTCACCCCTCTTATTGGCTTTGTTCGCTCTTGAGAACTCATTTGCCCGAACGCTGCCAAACAAGCCAAAGTGGAAGCACAACCAGTTGCTTGGACAATCTGCTGCATCTGTGCCTTCAGATCCTGAGTGCTGGAGTTGCAGCTCCTCATCTTGGGGATGCGTCTGTGGAGCACAAACCTGTTTGTGCCCTCCCTGGGCAGAACTTGCCCCACTATCAGTCTCTCTTTGCAGCGCTGCCTCTTCTGCAGTTGGTCCTAAGGGACCTTCAGCTGCCACAAAAGCCAGGTACAAGTTCTTCCCATGAACCTGAGAAAAGAGGTGGGATGTACTGAGGATCTACATAACCTCTGGCTGTTTCCATACCAAGTGACTGTTTTCTATAGCCTCTTTTGGCTAGAAAGCACATCACCCCACCCTGAACATGGGATTCATTACCACCTGAGTCATTCCCATCAGAGCTGCAGTCATCCTCTCAGCATCCCTTCTTTGGCTGTATGAAGCACAAGGTGTTCAGGTGCCACTTCAGTGTGAAGCCCTCCCAGAGGCTCCTATCAGGCCAAGGAGACACACCAGGACAGGCACTCGGGGTTTCAAAGTCTGTCATCGTGCTTCTCATTCATCTCCCCATTTTGTGCTGGCCTCACATGGCTGAGGTGACCTACTTCAAGGGTGGCTCTGAAGCCACAGGCTAGCCACAAGTGACAATTGAGCAGCTCACATCTATACCCCCAGCTGAGACTATCATGTAATCAGAGATGAGGCTGCACTAGCATTTGGCCAGTCCAGTCCAAATCATCATCTGAAGGAGGTCAGGCAAGTGAAGCCCCTAGTAGGACTGACCCAGTGTAGCTCTCTCAAGTGCCCAGCATAGACATTTATTTTAACCTAGCCAGGTGAAACCCTGCCCTCTGGTATAAGGGAAGCAACTGTGCAAGTTCACAGCTGAGGGAAACAAGGCCGCTACTTCTGACATCCATACACTAAAAAAAAGGAAAAAAAAAACCACACCACACCCACACCACTCATCTTCTTCAAACAGCCCATCACTAACACCAGCTCCTCATCCCTCGAGAGGCAAGAACCAGTGCATTAGCATCACTGACTCAAAACTGCAAATAATTCTGGGCATTTCTGTGTCTATCCACATCCCTACAACAGCCTCTCCCCACAGTAACCCTGATCCCAAACTTTGCAACACAGACCGGTACTCCAAAATGGTCATTCACATCTCTTTGGCCACGTGCACCTATTTTGTGGCTACAGACAAAGCCAATGGTCCACCTCAAACACAAGCTTGGTGTTGTTCTCAGGTTATGCACCTCCCGTGACCCCGATGCAGGACAATGGTGGTTTGCCTCAGACTTGTCTCAGACCAATAAGTTCATCTTTAGTACAGCTCACCTGGGAGTCCTGGAGCCTCAGGGCATTGAGGGCATTCACACTGATCTTCCGGCTGCTTCCCCCCACCTTGGCCACCACTTGTCCCACAAAAGGGGAGGTCAGCAGCTGGAACTTCCTTAAGGATGGGCCCTCCGGCATCTCCAGCAGGTGTCAAGGAAACCGGCAGGTCCTTCTCACACTTGGTTCCCTAGACTTGAAGGAAAGTTGCAACTCAAATACACAAAACAAGTCAGAAGCTGAGCTCACCACAATCTCCTCACCCCTGTTTTCCTCCTCAAGTCCCTGCCGCAAAGTCTGTGAATAAAAAGATGTTCCTTGCAGTCTCAGAGAGGTAGGGCAATTTCCATCCTTGGGGATATTCATAATTCAATCAAATAAGGCCCTGAGCAACCTGCTCTAGTGGTAGCTTTTGACCCACAAGCAGGAATTTGGCCTGGGGATCTCCAGAAGTTCTTTCCTACCACAGGAGTCACAGAGGACCTTAAATTAGACTGTTTAGCATCTCTCTCCTCACCAGGAACAAGAGCTCACTTAACTCCAACTGTTCCCTCAGTTACAGCCTTGATGCCCGGTACAAAGGAGGAGTGTAACCTTACATAGATACTGATGTACCAGCACAAGTCAGTGAGCTGTCCTTTTCCTGATACAGCTGCCGTGACAAGCGCTGCTCCCGTATCAGCACTGGAGTTCGCACATTCCCTTGCTTTACCAGCTGCTTGCCTCACTGACTACAGTGGAATGGAGCTGGTTAGAGACCATTCATACTCTCTACTAGCAGCATCTGGCATCAGAAGACTCTGGATGAGGGAGAGATAAAGTAACACCATCCTACAGCACCCTACAGCTCCCTCTAGGAAATCACACCAGTACCCGAATTATTTCTGGCGTGAAACCCCAGCCACATCTCACTTGCAGTTCTTCTGAGGACTTCTGCCAGGACTAGCTGTACAAGAAAGCAGATTCCAGGACAAGAAAAGCACAGTTTGGCTTTCATCCCACAGTGCCAATTCCCCCTGCAGATGAATCCCAGAGACCAGCACTGACCAGAAGTTCAGCTTCAAGCTCCACAGCACTTGGTACAAGGTTCCCTACCCGGCACAGCTCAGAGATAGCTTGATGTGAAAATCAACAGCAATCTTGTGCACGAGGCCCCACCAGAAGAGGCATTCCCACCTCATGCTAGCATCTCAGCTTCTCGCTGTCTGGGCTAGCTCAGATACAGCAGCTTACACCTGCATCAGCCCACAGCGACTGAAACCAAAGCCTTCAGAGCCACACACTCCTGCCGCAGCAAGGGGAATCACAGAATCATCGAGGTTGGAAAAGCCCTTGAAGCTCCTCCAGTCCAACCATGAGCCTCCCCCTGACCATTCCCAACTCCACCAGATCCCTCAGCGCTGGGTCAGCCCGACTCTTCAACCCCTCCAGGGATGAGGGCTCCCCCCCTGCCCTGGGCAGCCCATTCCAACGCCCAACAGCCCCTTCTGGAAAGAAATGCTTCCTAATACACAGTCTAAACTTTCCCTGTTGTAACTTGAGTGTTGAACATCTTTGTCCACTGAAGCTTTTAGCCCAGAAGAGGCATTTAAGCCAGCAGCCACCTCCACAGGGCTGTGAGCAGCAGCGAGGTGTAGGCATACTCTCAACAGAAGCAGGCAAGGCAGGATGTCTGTAAAAACCTTTATGTGCCCCTGCACAAACCAAAGCCCTTTTGGAAGGGCTCAAGAGGAAAACATGTCAGGGAACATTACCTGGATTCAAGACGTGAATTTAAAAGTATTAACTGGCCATATAAACTAGCTTTACTAGGAGTAAAAGACTGAGCTTTATCCCTGTGTCTCCTAGAGCATGGGATAATTATTCACAGGCCTGCTCCTGTTCCACCCAAAACAGCTGCATATTGTGTTCAGACTTCAGTCAAAAGCCAGTAGTAGATCAAGAGTCAGCTAAGGAGATGCTCCTGCTGCCAAAGGCACAAGCCACGATCTGGATTCCGGGAGCAGCATTTGGCCACTGGACACAGGTCATCCAGGGGCTCTGCCCATGTCCCAGGCCCTGGGTGTATTCCTCCTGACTATCCAGGCACTGGCTTCATGTCAGGCAGCGTGGGATGAGGCCCAGGATAGCTCACACAGCCCAGACCCCAAGGAAACTCACCACCTGCAGAGCTACACAGCTCTGATCACCACAGATTCAGTTCACAATGGGCTCCTTGTGAGAGACTACAAGTGCTGAGCACTTTATAAGGTTTTAATGCACATGCTCCCCCAGCTGTAGCCACTCTGGGCAGCAGAACAATGCTCCTCTTCAGGAGCAGAGCCTGCCCTTTTCCCCCAGGGCATCAGAATGAGCAGCATCTGCTGTCTCAGGCCTCCTCCATGGACTTCCCTACTTCACCTTTTCACTCCAAACCTACTTCAGCCTCTTCCAAAACGCTTCCCCCTTCAAGGATGAAGAGGAGGATCACAAGCCCCAGCTCTCTTCAGGCCACAGCACCATCTCTCCAAGAGCATAACCACTGCACCCCAGAGCCTGTCCCAGCAAGCCACCTGAACTGGTACCACTACAGGTCTGGGGCAGGGATGGAGGCCTCCAGGAGACATCCTCCCTGTGTATGGGCTCATTCCCAGCCCCTGTGCTCCGACAAAAGCCAAACACCTGCCTAGAGACATAACAAGGACAAGGCTGCCAGGTTCATCCACCTCAACCCAGCTTTACGTGCATGCCCACACTGCCAGCTCACCCACACCTAGAGATTGCATCTGCATGCCCTGCTGTGGAGGAAGCCCCACCCTGGCTTCACACCCCTGCACAAGGCTCCTACAGGGATTTCAAGGCACAGCCCTGATCCTCCACAGACAATTGGTGGAGGTGCAGAGCTCCCCATCTTCTCACACTCAATCAAGCATCGCTTTGCAGCTCTCCAGAACAACTAAGGCCAGAGTCTCCACCCCATTCCCCCCACAGCAATGGAGGCACCCACTGCACTCCCCCCAAGCCTCACATTCCTGCATCCCACTCGCAAGCCACTGCCCTTCCCAAGCCCACCCTATGCATGTATCAAGGGAGCAGACCACGCAGCCTTTCTCCCCTACTTCATTTCCCCCTTCTGCTCCTCCATGCTTCCTCTGCCCCTAGTTCCTCTTTTAACAACCCCCCACAGCCACCTCCCACAGCATCATCACCTACCCACCCTCAACATGACTACCTACACATGAAGCTCTTCCACCCACCCACTTTTATAGGGGAGGAGGACCCTCCTGCCCAAATGGCAGGGGAGCTTCCCAGTTGGCTGGTGGGGGAGGAACAGACGGGGTTTCAAGTCTGATCACACTCACCCCACCAGTTATAACAGCATCTGGGGACTGGTTGGACTGAGAAAGAAGCTGGTCTCCCTGGGAGGAAGGTTGGGTGTTTGTGGGAGGGCTGTGCTCAGCTATCTCCACCCTCTGCAGAAACACAGCCCCTGCTGGCAAAGTGATTTTGGCTTAAGGGTGGGGTCTCAGCTGCAAGCATTTAGTCTGAATAACAGCCTACTACAAAAAAAAAACAGGTTAGTGAGCAGACCAAAGATGTAAATCATGATGGTATTAAAGTGCCCTGAGGAGCTTTTTCCCTTTCTGCTGTGCTAGAGGGATTACCTGCTGCATGGAAAACATACTGAGAGCTTTTCTGTCATTGTGTTAAAGTCATGGAATCATGGAATGGTTTGGGTTGGAAGACACCTGAAAGATCATGTAGTTCCAACCCCACTGCCATGGCAAGGACATCTTCCCCTAGACCAGATTGCTTAAAGCCTCATCCAACGTGGCCTTGAATCGCTCCCTTGCTAGTCTGTCACTTCTGGTGTTTGTCATCCTGTGTTGGCCATCCCAGTTCCTACCTACAAGAAGTCACTCCTGGCCTTGGAGACAACATTCAGTCTCCTGCAATAAGACTGCTTGGGAGTCCACAAGCCTGAGCAATTGATTTACCAATGATTTTGCCTCTCATTAGAATCTAAGGTTTATCTGGAAAAACTCCACCATGAGGGTGGTCAAACACTGGAACAGGAACGCAGAGAGACTGTAGGATTTCCATCCTTGGGGATATTAAACACTTGAGTGAGGCCCTGAGGAACCCAGTCTAGTCTCTTCTGGTTTAAATGACTCTGTAATGCTATCATGATGAGCTCCCTAGGACAGGACTGTGTCCGGAGCACCCCCTGTCGCAGGGGATAGGGCTGTAACATGGTGGCCGCCAGCTCTTTCTCACCTCTGGCAGCACGCTGTGGTCGCTGTCATGTCCGCACCCTGGCTGGGCACGGACCAGCGCTCACCCCCCACCCTGTGGTGGGAAAAGGGAGGTGGGACCCCTGGTCCACAGACAAGGCCCTCAGCCAACAAAACACCTCAGTTGAGAGAAGTTTCTAGAACACTGGCCATATGTGACTGCACTTCAGATCTATAAAACGGGGCCCACAATGGAGACCCCCTTGGAGTAGTTCTCCTTGGAGCGGGTCTGTGGTCAGAAGCCCTCCCCTGGGAACTGGGATGCCACCCAAGGAAACTTCCTGAGATTGAGTGCCCTCACCCCGCTCCCTTGGTGAGTGAATACTTCAGCTGGATATCCTTGAGCGAGCGCTCGCCCCTTTGGGGGAGCGATTACATCTTCTGGGTACCCTTGAGCAAGAGGTTTCTCCTTCAGTGAGTGAATGTGCGCTCACTTTGGAGCCATCGTTCTTCTGCGTTGTCATTCTTCTGTGTCATGTAGTAATAACTTCCCCAACCAGTCCACCGAACCTACAGTTTGTTAAATGTTATCAGAGCGTTGTTTTCTTGTTGGTTTCAGCTGTGTGGATTTGGTGACAGATTCAGGTTTGTTCAAGTTTATTATCTACGTGAAGCCGCTTTGATGTACCTCCGTGACATTTTAATTGGCAGGGCGAGCAGAGTGTACCGATGGAGGGATTACTGCGGAGACAGGATTGCCACCCTTCTCCCTTGGGAATGGAGTGGGCAAAGGAGAAGTGGTGTGAGCCTGAAGCAGTTGTGGTGGGGGTGGAGAAATGTCGTGGAGATAAGCGAGATGGCACAGGGAAAGGAACGATTTGCACCATCCTGGGTGTCTGCTTGATACAAACGCAGGGCCAGCATGTAAGTATTGCCAGCAGTTGGAAAGGGATAGTTCTGAGAAGCAGTTGAAAACAGATTGTTTGGAAGTGGAGTTACAACAAGAGAGAGGTCAGACGTGTTTCTTGGAACAGAGGGTTGAGCTCACGTTAAGCCAAGTGGAAAAGCGCCCCCCACCCCATGTTGTCCAAATTCAGAAATGGATTGTGGGTACAGATCCCGGGGAATGGGATAGGGACATCTGTGGAGATTCTGAGGAGAACAATGTTAACAAGATGGAAGAGTTAGAACAGAAGGATGTGAGACCTCTTATTAAAAGGGAAGCAAGAGGGTCCACAGGGTAGAAACCCTCAAACTACCATCCGTACCGCTCCATGAATGGGACCCAAACTTAGTGACCTACAAACTAAATTCTTACATAAACCAGGTGAGACAGAAACTGAATACTTGTGGCGTGTTTCGCTTAGTGAAGGTGATCAGATATTGTTGAGTGATGATGAGGCTCAAGGGTTTGGGGGACCTGGTGTGTTTTTGAGTGACTAGTGTCATTTTGGACTGTGGGCATGGACCCCAGAGAACAAAGAGAGCCTGTTACCGTTCGGATCAGGGGATTGTTGAAGCCGGTGGAGGGGATGCAAGAGGCTGCTTGTGTACAGGCAATGTATGAGAGAGGGCAGTAGGGGATACCAACGGCTACACTGGTGGATGCTGCCCACCTTAGACCTCTTATTTTAAGGATGCCTTAAAAATACCCAGTCCCTTAGAGAGAGGATCCAAAGAGCCATAGAACGTAAGCAACAAAACCCTCAAAATCCTCTCACACATGTGCTAACTTAGGCCAAAACACCAGTTTAGTCACCCATGGGCATGAAATGGGATGGATGGCTCTAGGCAGTTGCACAGACAGGAGCGGGAGGGTCTGGCAAGCTAGTCATGAGCCTTGCCTCAGACAGCCCCCCCTCCCAACTCTTTCATAGCAGGTCGGATCAAGCTGGTGGTCTGGAGCAGAAGCACCTGTGGTGAAAGGCAAACTGTGGTGAAAGGCATAGGTGTTGGGGGTA